GGGAAAGGTTTTGAAGATTTATAATTTCATTTATTTGTTACGATGTATTATGTCTAACTTATTTCCATAAGGATGTAATGTATTATTTAAAATGGAAGTTAAGATTTACATAAACAGAAAAGTGTATCTAAGAATCTAAGGGAACTAAGTTATCAGGTACTTAAACTAAATTAATCCCTGAGGATCTAATTTTTTAATTAAAACTACCACAGAAGAAAGCAAGCGTTTAAATTATATAATATGTATCATTTAATATGAAATATAACTTTAAAACAATATTGGGTTCTGCCTTGTCCCTAGATAAAATTCTATGGCCCTCCTGTTAGATCAAGTTATTTCAGATAAAAATGTTGCCTGCTTGCCAAATACAACAGTTCTGCTTGATACAGTTTCTCATTTCATTTGAGAAAGCAGAGTAAAAGAGTGTGAATTCTAGAATTAGTTCTCCTAGGTTCAGATCATATCACTTATTTATTCCTATGTCCTCCCTTGTAAAATGAGGATGACAGTAATACCATTTTATAGAGCTGCTTTGAGGATTAAATACAGTGATACGTGTAAAGTGTTTAGAACAACATCTGGCATACAGAAAGCACCCAATAAATGTCAGTTCTTATTACTATTATTGTTTGGCAGAAACTAGCCAACTAATCCAGCCATTAAAACCCTCCCACTTATAAACATTGAGCTGTATCATCAGTATAAAATCAGTGTTTGTCTTCCTGCCTGTGGTAGCAAAATGCATCCAATTAAAATGAAAACTCTACTTCAGAAAAAGGGCATGAGAACATCTTTAACTGTTCAACTTTTAACTAAATTTGTCATGAAAGTATGCCTTTTACTAAAGTTGAATTTGAACTATTTATATCAAATATGGCTAAGAAGCATAAATAAGCTATGCGCATTGCCATGCCTTTTTTCTTTTGTTTTCTTTTGGGTGAGTTGTTTGTTTGGCTTTCTTTTCAACTGGTATAGAAACCTGAATTTTTAAACCACAAACTTGGCTTCTTGATGACATAGACTAATTTTCATCTGAAACCTGCTTATCCTTGGGGCAAGTTTTTAGTTTGAAAGGCTGAGTTATGCCGGTAGTTTGGAAAGTAATTGACATTATTCTCTGAATCTCGGACATAAAAGATTTCCCTCTTGAGGATTTAAAGACTATTTTTAAAGCCATTCCAAGGGGACTCTGTTCATTGAGGTACATAGTTCTTGAAGATACTGGAGCAGGAGAAGTCCTAAATTGCCCTAACGTCCAAAAAGGACATAGTTTTCAAGTATTTTTCTTTTTTTTTTTTTTAATCTTAGAAGCTTTTATGATCCTTTATTTATCTTCTGGAAAAGACTGCTAGATCAGTGCTTAAATTTTTATTACAAAGATTCTTTGTTTTTGTTATTGTTGTTTTTTCACTGCATTTGAGCATATGAAGGATCATGGGGTTATATGTCTAATATAGTGTTATAAATGTTTTGAGTGGTTTAATACTTGTGAAAATTTTACATTGGTTTTTAAAAATTTCCTTTTTCCAAAAAGAAGTGCCTTTAATTGCTTTGCTCCCTTCTTTAAGAGTTAGGTAGAACAGTATTTCACTGCATAAATGAATAACTGATTTTTTTCTCTTTTACTGCTATACATTTATTTTTATCTCTGGTTAAACTCACATCTAAACTAAATATTGTATTTAAGTATATAAACCCTTTGCATGTTGTACAAATACTTGCCAATTATTAGTGTATAATACGTGCTGGGACCTACTTGACAGTTTCACAAGATAGTGGCAGTGGAAGGTTTAGCACAGCCATTTTACACACAGGGTGCTTGAGTTCTGATATGTTGTTAAGTGACTTGCCTAAGCCAATACGAGAGAACCAGGATTCAAAGTGTATGGTATCTTGCTTCAAATGAACCCCCATATTTCAGCTATTTTATCTGTCCACTTTCAACTGTACCACAGATACTGTTTCAACTTACAGATCGTGAAACATTGTTTTAAATTTGTTATAAAGGAGCCAGTAATGACCAATGGGTGACTAAATGTTATATTTTCTCCCTTTACATTTTAAATAATTTGTTTAATGGGAGAAGGAAAAGTTCAGAGACATTCTTAAACTGTGAATATACTGTCTTTTTTTATACTGGCATATGATACTACTCTCTTTTCCTTTGCGTTCTACTCAAGTATGTCTAACCTAAGCATCTTCAAGCCTTATATTATACGCTACTAATTTGTGATCATGGTTTTTAAGAATTGTATACAAGACAGTGAAAGAACTGGAAAGTAAAAGTTAAGTCCAATGCTCCCAAAGAGGAAGAAGTGACAGAAAAGTTAATGTAGCACAATTTATTTGAAAAACCATGTTATATCAGTCATCATAATCTTGGTAAAATAGAAATTCAAATAATGTATAATCAAATATTATACACATTGGTTAGATAAAATGTTAATCAGCATAAAAGCCACTTTTTAAAATTGTCAGTGCTGTCCTTTTTTTTTAAACTTAATTTTGTTAGAATATAAAGTTTCAGTGTTACTTCCTTTGAATTTCCCTAAGATAACTGAAGTAACTCCTATCACTAATAGTGATAGTTAATTTTTTTTTAATTTCCATAACCAGGGATACTTTTGTTTGTACAGACTTAAGAAATTCTGAAGATTTTCCCTATAATGAAAGAAAAATGCACAAAATCTACTCCTGCATTTTAAAGTTAAAGAAATTCTTGTAAATGCATTGATTTAGTTAACACATGAAAGGCTATTAAAAAAAAATCACAATATTTGAACTCAGGTCCCCATTTATCATATGTGCAGTTCCAAGTTTATGAATGCATCCTTTTGAAGCTTTTAAGAGGGCAACTTGCATTTTCTCATACATTTTCTCATAGAAATAGAATGTTTTCAATAATGAATTATGCAGTAATATTTTAAATCGTGGTTCCCAGGTTAGCTTATTTTTAAAAATCTACTAACCTTTCTATGCAGCTTAATTACTGATAGCAGAAATGTTTGGGGCTATGAAAGTTTATTTTGTAATTAAAAATTTACATTTGAAAGAACAAAATGAAGTTAAAAGTGTGTATATATATTAATTTTTTGAACATAGATAGGAAGACGTTCTACATGTTGTATGTTAAAATATGTTGGATTTTCTGCCGTTATAGCTAAGAATATCTTGGGCCCGAATATTTAAATACAAACTTAGTTTTCAGCTGCAACATGCCTGCTGTTTTCCTATGAAATACATGGGATTATCACTGTTACCTGCTTTTGTATTTTGTTTATCAGCTTACTTTAATGCCATGAAACTTTGCCTTTTAAGATTCCTTAACTGTTTAACTGTTGGTTAAATGTCTACAACAGTATTTTGCAAATACTAATAGATGATTGATACTTATGAACTCATGGATTTTAAAGTTAAAATACATATCAGTCTCATTTATTCAACATGTCAGTTAAATTTTGTCATAGTTGGGATGAGCATGTTAACATTTTAATATTTTAACATTTTAACATTTGTGTGCCTAACAAAGCACAATTTAAAGAGTAACTTCACACATTAAACTATTGTGCACATGGAGATAAGAATTTGAATTGGTGCCTGTACAGTCTTTAACCAAATATGCATAAATGTTCCAACATAATCCTCATTTACTTCTTTTAAACTTTATTTAGAATTAAGATTGTTTAGGCTCTCCTATAGAGTAAGATTTCTTAATCATCTTCCATGGTTGTGTGTTGCACTAGATTTTTACAAACTTACAAGAGAGGGGATAGACAATACTAATGATGAGAGAATCTTTTAAAGCAGAAAAGACATTACTGTCTGTCCTGCCAAAGAATTTAACACGTAGCTAAGAATGGGAAGTTTTAGCCTGTCACCATCTGATTGTATTTGAGGGATCAAGTATTAATATTAGATACATTTCTGTAATTACTTATAAAAATATAACATTTAACCTGAATATAATCAAATATGCAATCTAATTCTAATTAATAAATTTTACTTCTATAACCTGAAATATTTTTATCTTCACCATATAAGCAATTCTAAAAAGCTCTATTTGCTATAATCATCTTCTTTAGCAATTAATGAATGGACTATCAATTTATGTCAAGCATTAAGTTATATATCCTCTTAATGCTGATTCTTGAGAGCCTTCGTAATTCATCATCAGAATTGTATTTACCCAAATTATATAACTAGAGATGATATGCATGAATCATAAACTACTTGCATCATTTTAATATCATTTTCTTTTTTATCATGACAAACTAAAATTTCAGTTTTAATTATGTTTTAAGTTATTGTAATAACAGATTTTGGTCATTTATTTTAATAACTTAGAGGTCTTATTCCTCTAACATACATCAAGGACATGAATAGTCAGAAATCATAAAAACTAAACAGCTGGATCATCTCGTGGGATTTTCTGAGCCAGACCATTCCTTCAGCAACTTAACATAATTTTTTGTTAACACGACACATGTGTAACACTTTAGTTTAAGTACACAAACTATAAAGAGCTATAGCAAGACTTTTCAGAACAATTCCAATTGAAATTTGAGTTTAGAGATTTATATTGGCATTTACTGATTCAGAGACCTTATTATTAATAATTAACCCAGCACATTAACTGTCACAGTAGTGTCCTAGCTATTGCTTTATCAAGAAAAAACAAAGTACTAGTAATGGGATAAAGTATAGAGTCGTCTGTTCTTCACAAGAAGTTTTAGGTAATACATTCAGAATATATGAATATTGCTAACTTGGATGACTTTTTAATGATTTTTTTTAGGTGACTTGGAATAGAATTGTTTAAGAAATTATTTTTTGCTCTTTAAAACTGATTATCAACCATACTGATGAAAACTGAGGAACTGTTTACTCCCTATATCTTTAAATAGTCCAAGTTCATATTTAAACCCTGAATGAGTATCCATTTCTCTAATAGTATATCATAGTTCTGTGATTTGATGGCAGGAACAAAGTGAAATACTTACCAAACATTATTGTTAAGAGGGCAATCGGCATCACAAACAATCCAACCAGCAAGTCGGCCACTGCCAGGGACATTAGGAAATAATTGGTAGCATACTGCAACTTTTTCTCCAGTGATACAGCCAGAATAACAAGGATGTTACCACCAATTGTGGGTATTATCACCATGAGTATCAGAAGAGCTGCCCAGCGTGGCTTATTTCCCTGTTCCTCACCAGTCTGTTTCATTTTCTCTGATATCGATTCTGTCTGTAATCCAGACCAGTTAGAAGAGATTAAGTGGTCAAATGAGCTCTGCAAAACATGCTCAGGACTTGTGCGTTGCTCGAATATTCTAAAAGAGAAAGCCATTCACTGTTTTTCTTTGATTTGATCTGATTCCGGACAATGATCAGCATGGTCAGTAGCTTGACCGGTCATCTGCTTTTTTAAGGCTTTGTACCCATGCCAAACACTCAAGGCCAAAGTTGACTCCTTCCTTAGAAAGAGAATTTCAAACTCTATAAAATGAAAGTGTACGTACATCTGTCCATGTCTGTAGGTAAGGCCCAAGTGGTTAGTGTTCTGCAGAGGTTCAGGTTTCAGAAGGCTTAGTGAAAGAAACTGATAGCTGTGGGAAAAAAACAGACTATTTTTTGGTTTCTCTTTCTCCCTCTTTTTTTTTCCTTGTTGTGGTGGAGTCGAGTTTGAATTTGAATGCCAGAGAGTTCTCCCTAGATATAAAATATATCAATTGCATTATTTTCTTTATTTCTTAATAAAACCCAGTTTAAAAAAGCAGTTGCATTTATTAGCAGCCCCTCCCTTCTCGATAGGTCTCTTGTGCATTTGTGACAATACAGCCAGTTCTTACAATCATATATATGCCTGATATGTTCCAATTAATGAAGTGGGAGATACATTAATTTTTTCAGTGGTGTAATGAAAACCTAGGTGTTTCCTGACCCTTAATTGTCATTTTACCTTTACTTCAGAATATGTACAGAAGATTAGAAACATCCAAACACCAAACAGAACTTTTCATACATACTGGCCTTCTACCTAGAAACACTCCAAGCCCCCCACTCGACCCCCCTGCCCCGCTGTGATTTACCAGCATAGGAATCCTTATTTGTAATAATTAGATTTGGTCTGATCAAGTTTATTTTAATACTCATATAAATGCCATTTTTTATAAAACATTTTTGTAACTCATTCTAAAAAACTGGGGTTTCTAGACTCCTTTATAGTTTGAAAGAAGAGGAGAAAGTATTCCTAGGATCCAAATAATTGTTTTTGCATGTTTCATCTTTCAAAGAAAGCATGTTTCTGCACAGATATTTTCTGAATTTATCACTTTATGCCAAGTTTGAACCAGTTATTTTTTTAAGTAGTAATTTCTTTTTTTCTTAACCTTCCCAGTTTCTGAGGCAAGGAGGAAGATTAAATCATTTTTTCATAAAGCCTTACAAATCCCACATTAAAATCTTCCCTTTAACATTTCTAAATTTTTCGTTTTGGTTTTTAAAGCACTGAATAGAAATAAAAAATTATGGTAGCAGAGTTTTTGAAGAAGGAAAAGAAAAAGCCTTTAGATTAACTCTGTCTACTGGGTACTTACCTCTATTTGCGGGTTACTCTCCTAAGCATGTCATCTGATCTACTCAGGAGACCTGCTTGCTGCTGTGGTGGGAGTCCTCCTCCCGTTGACTTATTCTGAGCCTCCAGCACTGGTGCTTGAAATCATACAAATGTGTTGTGTAGCTGTAAGCGTGCCAAGGAGATTGTTTCATCTTCGATACATTCATTTTTAGAGAGTAGCAGCATTCATTATAATTCATAAAACCACCAGTTAAGTATGTTGAACCAATTCATGATCCTTATTCAAGTTATATTCTTAAGAGCTGTCTTTAATTTGGGGGACTGTGATAACTCTGTCATTATAGCTTAAGATAGTTTTGTTTTCAATTAACCCTAGGCTGTTTTTCCTAATTGAGAAAAAATAAGTTACAGTCTAGAGATACTGGAGCTTTAATTCTGTGGAGATTCTGCCCAGTGAGCCTTAAAGTGATTTCCACAGTTTTAATTTCTACCAGTGAAACATGTTTCTTATGCAGCTTTCATGCCTTTGTTGTGGAACATAATTAATTTGCTCTGATTACAACCTTATATAGAAGAACACAGGAAGGTTTGAATTCTACATACATATATAAGTTTGAGAAGAGACTTTTTCTTTGCTTCAAAGCTTCCCTTTAAAAGATTATGTAATAGGAGACTTGCCTGTTGGTCCAGTGGTTAAGAGTCCACGCTTTCAATGCAGGGAATGCAGATTCAATCCCTGGTTGGGGAACTAAAGATCCCACATGCTACACAGAAATAAATAAAAGATCATTGTAGGTCACTCGTATTTTTAAGTTATTTAATTACTTCTCTGTTGGCAATAGCATTTATGCAGTTTCAAATTTATGTTCCTTAGCTTGTGTGAAAGTTACCAGAAAATATTTTGTTCAGTTCTACTGAGCACTTCAGATTTTATTCAATATTTGCTGCTTTATTTTAACTCAGACTTCAATATTTTAGAAAAAAATGTTTACTAATAATTTTAGGTGAAGACAAAATAATCCTCAAGAACAATCAGATAAATTTTAATGTGCCAGAATTTCTCTTCAGGAATATGGAAATATCTTAAAATAGTGCTTTATTCTGAACCACAGTTCGGCTTCTGTGCTCATGCAGGCAGGTAGGTGTCTGCAAAATGAGTAATGTCAGATTGGAAATAGCACCATTATATTTAATGAAAAGATGTGTATGAAGTAAACCTTCATCAATTTGTGTTTACAGAAAAGTTTTTAAAAATATTCATTGAGTATATTATAAAAGTACTGACCATTATTATTATATAATTCTGTGTCAATACTAACCCTTCTGCCCACATTGACTCACTTCTTTTTTTTTTGGCTCCTAGAATGTTTTTATTTATATTTGTATTTTTAATTAGCTTAATGGCTAGGGACCAAAAGTAGTTAGAAGAACTACTTATTGTTGTAGTTAACAACAACTTAGAGTTATTAGAAGCATAGTTAACAATCAGAAGGTAAAATAATAATACTAAATAAAACAGTAGATGAATCTAATTGACAGATAACTAAATCTGTGCTCTAAAACCTCATGCACATTAGGTAGAAGACTGTCTGTAAGTCATCACTTCATATCTTTTAACACTAAACACACACACAAACTTGTCTTTCCCCTGTCTTTAATGAAAAAAAGAAATTTGCCCATGGTAGTAAATCTAAACAGTACAAAAGAATATTCAGTGATAAATTAACTCTTGAGACAGCTTTAACAACCACATTTCCCTCTCTTCTTCAAAATAGAGTAACAGATTAAAAGATGGACAGCTCTTTGGTAATAGCGAACAGGGCCAACTGAAAAAAAAAACAGGAATTAAAAAGAATAGGCATGTAGTTCTATTCAGAATAGAGACTTGTAGCTCTCGTAACTCAGCCCTCCACAACTCTTGTGTGGTATAATTGATATAGTGATGACTACCACATATTTAATAAAGCTTCAAATAAAAGTGAAAGTCGCTCAGTCATGTCCAACTATTTGCGACCTCATAGACTGTAGCCTGCCAGGCTCCTCTGTCCATGGAATTCTCCAGGCCAGAATATGGGAGTGGGTAGCCTTTCCCTTCTCCAGGGCATCTTCCCAACCCAGGGGTCAAACCCAGGTCTTCCTCATTGCAGGTGGATTCTTTACCATCTGAGCCACCAGAGAAGCCCAAGAACACTGGAGTGGGCAGCCTGTCCCTTCTCCAGGGGATCTTCTCAACCCAGGAATTGAACTGGGGTCTCCTGCATTGCAGGCAGAGTCTTTACCAGCTGAGAGCTTAAATCATCTTTATTCAGCTCTGTTCTGGATGACTGGAATAAGTGAAATGCATTTTTTTGAGATTTCAAATATCTGGAAACTTTGTGTAGGATATGTTATTTAGAGAACTAGATAAATTTATTAATCTATTTATTAATTTTTTATTTTATTTATTTTTAATAATAAATATATTTTATATAATATATAATAAAATATATTTTACATAAATAATAATTTATTATTAATAATTAAAATTATTAACTAGCTTAAATAAATTAATTTATCAAGAACTCCAGATAAATTAATTCTTACTTAAGTAGCTTAAAGGTCAGTTTCAAATGCTAATCTGACTGTAACCAAAACATCTAATTGGTGCCTTTCTCCCTAAATACTGAATTTTATCCCTGATACCTTTTGTTTTATTGAACAGATTGTCTTCTACTTAAAGAGGCAGTGTAGTATCTTTTATAGGTCTAGGAAGACAACTTAAATATCAGCCAAGGATAGTTTTTACCTCTCAGTCATGATATCTTTCAAACACTTAACACATTAATGACTTTTTGACAATATGTAGATTGTGTTCATTGCATATTCATTCATGTGTAAAGTAGTTGCTGAGTTCCATTTGCTTGTGGAGTTACAGTGAAGAATAGAATAAGCATGTTTTGCCTTTATATATAATTTATAATCTATGGGGGATGCAAACAGTATGAGTGAGTGAGTGATAGTCGCTCAGTCATGTCCAACTCTTTGCGACCCCATGGACTGTATAGCCCACCAGGCTCCTTTGTCCATGGAATTTTGTCCAAAAATACTGGAGTGGGTTGCCATTCCTTCTCTAATCAGACACTCCAGTCTGATTCTCCTAATCAGACACTCCCTTAAATACAAGATTACAGTCTCTCAGAAAACTTCCTATAGAGACACAGAACTTCAGATCCAAGTACTAACAGTAAATGAAAATCTCTCAGGTCTTCAAAGATTTCAAAGGGAGGAAAGGAAGCCAGGTTGAAAAGAAGGGGTGGGGGGGCGGCAAAAAGAGTGGAAACAGTATACTGATAGTGAAGGAAATGGCATCTCACTCCACTACTCTTGCCTGGAAAATCCCATGGACAGAGGAGCATGGTAGGCTACAGTCCATGGGGTTGCAAAGAGTCAGACACGACTGAGCAATTTGACTCACTCACTCATAATATAGGTATGGTAGAGGTAAGACTAGCTCACTTCAACAGGGCCTGCACTGCAGCTCAAATACATCTTGACATTTTTTAAAAAATTTCTTTCTTATTCATTCTTATTTGATGAGATTAGTGAAATAACTAAACTTTAGTAAGAGTAGCTATTTTAGACTTAGTCTGTTCTCCTTAAACTCTGTGCTCATACTCCCCTGATGACCGAATTTACCACTTATTTTCGTGAAAGACTTAAACCAATCTGAAAGCTCAGTCAGCTTTCAACTTCTTCTTAAAATGTCTTTTCATCCATCCTATTCTTGGGATCATGTTGTCATCCCTCTTTTCCATAACTAACTTCTACCTAAGTTCTTAATCCCAGCTCTTTATGGTATTATTTACAATCTTGCTAAATAAAGTATATTTTTCACACGTAGAATCCATGCCTTAAATATTCATTTTCTCAGCTTTAACTTCTTTCTTGCAGACATGTACAGGTTTACCACTTAATGAAAAATAAAACCTTTCTTTATCCCTTCAGTCTCTTTCCTTCATCATCTGACTTCTTTAGATAATTGCCTATCCTTTTTTCTTCTTACTGGGCTTCTCTGATAGCTCAGTTGGTAAAGAATCCACCTGCAATGCAAGAGAACCTGCTTCGATTCCTGGGTCGGGAAGATTCCCTGGAGAAGGGATAGGCTGCACTCCGGTATTCTTGGGCTTCCCTTCTGTCTCAGCTGGTAAAGAATCCGCCTGCAATGAAGGAGACCTGGGCTCGATCCCTGGGTTGGGAAGATCCCCTGGAGAAGGGAAAGGCTACCCACTCCAGTATTCTGGCCTGGAGAATTCCATGGACTGTATAGTCCATGGGATCGCAGAGTCGGACACAACTGAGCGACTTCTACTTCACTTTCCTTCTTACTACCTACCCAGTCTGTAACCCTTGTAATCAGACTTTTATGCCCAGCACTCTACTGAAATAACTCTTTGTTGTTCAGTTGCTTAGTTGTGTCCAACTCGTTGTGACCCCGTGGACTGCAGCACGCCAGGCTTCCCTGTCCTTCACTATCTCCCTGAGCTTGCTCAAACTTATGTCCATTGAGTCATTGATGCCATCCCACCATCTCGTCCTCTTGTTTCCTTCTCCTGCTGCCCTCAATCTTTCCCAGCATCAGGGTCTTTTCTAATGCGTTGACTCTTCACATCAGGTGGCAAATTTCAAACTTTTCCCCTCCATGTTCATGACTAGAACCTTTTCCAAGTCACTGATAGATCTTAACCAGATTTCTGAGGTAGCCTCTTAATTGGTCTTTCTTCTCCCTTTACCTCTGGTTTCAGTAGAGCAGCCAAATTGACCGTTTTTAAACAAGTCAGATCATGTCATTCCTTTGCTTAGAATCCTGATAGTCCTTCATTTCACTCATAGTAAAAGCCAGTTTCCTATAACCTGCCCCTGTTTTCATCTACTCTTCCCTCTTCACTACCGTCAAACTGTTGGCGTCTTTGCCCCTCCTAAAACATGCTGGGTGTCATTCTGCCACAGGGCACTTGCATGAGCTGTTTCTACTACCTGTATTCTTCCTCTGGATAGCCACTTGGCTCACTTCTTCACTGCCTTCTTGTCTTCGTTTAAATGTCACCTCATCACTGAAGGTGCCCT